TTATTTTTAAAATAAATTTTAAAAAAGATTTTAATTTGTTTTTCTTTTTTGCTAGTATAATGTAGGGGTTCAGTCTGTAGAACTGCATCTGAGAAGAGACCATTGCATGCTTGTCCTATGGCTAAACACATTAAACTAGGTTTAAAATGCTACGTGCCTCATTGGAGACATAGCGAATAGGGAGAAATGCCTCTCTCAAGCACAGTTTCTAATAGGATGTGTTCTGTTCGCTCAGGTATGGAGAAGGAAGATGGGTCTTTGGTGATTCTTCCTTACTCTGTTTTAACTCCAAGATGAAACCCACATGATTGTGGCTGGCCCTTGGCTTGTTTGTAGTTCCTTTCTTTGCATCCTTGGTATAGAGGAAGTTTTACTTAATGCCCCTGTTGGAGGTAGGTTTCCGCCCAGCTCTGGGAATCTTCCCTCACAGACATCATTACAGAAGACAGCTCCACGTTAACAGTTAGCTCATGGGAAGGGGTGGCGGAATTGAGATGCTTAGGAAGCAGAATGCACGGCCTCGGGAATGGGCATTGTGTGTGAAGCAGACTGACCTGGCAAGAATGGCACATGGGTATTGAGTTGTGTGGCAAGACAGACGGTGCTGCCCTTCGTCACCCATGGGAGGCTCTCTGGGGAAGAGGATTGCTGGGGAGAGAGTTCAGTTTTCAGTGCATACAGCTTTACCTGGAAGTAAGGATGCAGAGTAGACTGTAGTCTTTTCAGGACTTGTGTCCTGCATCCTCTCCGGTGACTCATACACTACACTTTATAAGCCAGCTTGTGTTGCTTTGCCCAGTCAGGTCAGTACAGCATGTTTGGAAGGTCAGCCCTGTCCTAGGCACTCTTTGCATGTTATATACAAAGCTGCTCATGAATAGTTCTAGAGTCATTCCAAATAAGACAACGCACAGAGCGTAGATGTAATTGCTGTCAGAGAAGGGCAGGTTAGGAAGGCTAGGGATTTTGGTTTTCTTGTGCTTTTAAGTAGCCAAGAGCCAGCCTTGTTGCAAGTTTTACCTTAGCAGTTGGCTTTTACTAACTATAATCACTTTCTAAGATGAGAAAGAAAGATGTGACTGAGCAGCAAAAATTTTCAAGGGTAGTTACAGTAGTATATGGAATTTGAGTAATTTTGAAGGTCAAAGAAAGGCAATGGATCCATGAAAAGAAATATAATTGTAAGGTTATCTTGAGTTCTTTACTATGTGGGTGTATATGTGTATGTGTATATTTGTGTGTATACAACTGTGTGAGATTTTACCCAAGGAGAAAAACGAAATGGCTTGGCTTGTAATGTTACCGGTAAAACTTGTATAAAATTAAGGTGGATTCTGTGGATTAGTATTTGCTGAAGCAGAGCAGGACATCTCCACGAAGGCAAGGCACTTTCCTCTGCCTCCTGAGTGAGTAGATGATTTTGGGGCCAGTCTCTAGTTCCAGACTTCTCTCTGCTTCTGTGTCCTTGCCCTCCTGGTCACCTCATTAAGAGGCAGATCCTTTTTCTCCCTGGATGTGGGCAGTGGCCACTTTACTTGGTTCTGGCCAGCTTTCTGCTTTTCTACCAACAGATGTTCTGCAAAGTGCGCATTATTGAGTCTTCCTTCGCTCCCTGCTGTGTCTTGCACGGTCTGGACATGAAACAGTGAGGTTATGTGAGTAGGGGCTGTGATGCTTGGCATGCGGCCAGCCCTAACACCAGCCCCCAGCTTGCTGGAATCTGATGCTAGAGTCTTGTGTGCATCAGAGCGAAAGCTCTAGAAATAACTTTTTGGGGGAGCCGCACGTCTTTATTTTGCATAAGACACCCTCCGTCCTCTTGAGTTAACACAGGCAAGAAACAGTGATTTTTTTTAGATTTCTTATTTTGATGTCTTTGCCTTGTCCTGAGTAACACAGGGGCAAAGCATCACGAGTCCCACATGCTATGCAGCAGATCTGAGTTGAGACAACTCTGATGGAATTGCAGGTGACTTGTTAGTGGCTTTGTATTCTTATGTCAGTCTTTGACTCCTCTGAGCTGTGTGTACAGGTGGTTGTCCTTATCTTCCCTGGGTCCTGTTTTTGGGATGATTCATATGTTGGGAAAGAAGAGCATGGCCTTTGACCTGAACTTCGTGGTGTGCAGAGTGCTTATACAGTGTGTCTTCCCACCTAGCCTGCAGGGATGACAGAGTCTATCAGATGCCGTCACTGAGACTTTGTGACTAATCCAGGCTTAGTTACGTAGCTGAGAAGTGCTAGAGCTGGAACTTGAGCCCAGGAACCAGAGAGGGTTGGCGTTGATAAGTCTGTAACTAGCACCTTGTTGAATGCAAGTGGAGAAAGGAGGATCCTAAAACAAGCTTGACATGCTGTCCTTAAGTCTGGAGCATGGATTCTAAACAAGCTAAACAAGAGGCGTCTAGTGGAGTTGTCCTGAAACGTTTCTCTGCTAGGTTCAAGGTAAGTTCTTCATGTTCTAGTGATAGGGATTCTCATTCTCCTCCGCTCGCTGGCCCAGCAGCCCATACTGACTCTGTGGTAAGCCTTGCCTAACTCCTATTAAGGGACACACCCCCTTCTCATCTTCAGGTGACCTGCATTACTTCTCAGGTTTGTGCTGTGGCAGGGTGTGTTCTGTGTTGCCGGACAGTGAACTCGGATTTCCTTCTGGGCAGAAGCTACCAGGCTTGCGCCTGGTTAACTGGATCCTCCTGTGAAAGGCTCCACAAAGGCCCTGTTGTCATTATTAGCCACTCCTTGATTCTCACTGGCAGCTACCCCAGCAGCATAGCTTTTCAGGTGCCTGCTGGAAGCTTTCCCAAGCCTGGCTTACATTTCGTCCCTCTCACCACCCCGCTTTTACTTGGTTGAGGTGATTGTCCAGCCAAATCTTCCCTGCCCTACTGGGGAGGCACAGGAGGATTGTCAGGTGGGTTGAGAAGCAAACCTATTCTTACTCTGTGCTCAGGCCTTTCTTTGTGAGTTCTGACTGAAGGAACGTCTAGATTAAAATAAAAATGTGTACAGCCACACCCACTGTGGGTGTATGTGCATTTGAGGGCTCTTTGAGGGCTTTGTCTTCTACTCTGAGGTATCGCTGTCCTTTTTCTTTGTCTCTTGCTTTCCAGTGGCCTCTTCCCCATAGTCTTCTGACTTTCAGCTATATCTGCTTTTTTCTTGACTTGCCAGGCAGTGATTTGTGGTTTGAGGGATATCCTTAGTCTGGGCCAATTTTTAGAGAAGGCTGGTTCCCCTGCCAGCATCAAGGACCATTTTATGAAAATGACCGAATCAGGAGGGACCGGAGGTTGGCTCATGTGTTCTCATTTTCCACCTTTTCTCTTACAATGTAGAGCTAAGTGCTCTGCATGAGCCACAGCTACCTCAGGACTTCCGTCGTGTGAGTATGGGATGATGGTCCAGGACCCATTCAGTAGCCTGAGCCTGGCTTTTTCACTGGCAGCCATGGCTTAGAACAGACACTTGAGGTTGAATTCATATATGGTGGCCCCAACATGCCTTGATTCAGTACATGCTGAGCAGGATGCACCACCAAATATAGGGAGAGGAAATAAACTGAATGCAATAAAAAATTAAAAACATGACCCCAAACCTCAAGGGACAAAATGGGAGCTAAGAAAGAGAAGTGCTGAGGATCACGGATGCTCTTATTTAGAAGGTTCTGTTAATCTGTGAAGCCAGAACACACATCATCCCCGCCACCTATCTTATTAAAGCCAGGCCTTGTGACTACTTATGCCTCATATTTCCCTCTGGGAATTTGAACATAATGCCATTTCCCCTGCAATGAGGGAAGCGTGTATCAGGGTAATTTGAATGATTAGCCTAATCTGCAGGAAGGCTGCACACAGAATTAAGTTAAGCACATTTGTACTGAGCAGCCTTGTCTGTCAGGCCAATTAAAGGTGCCTTGGTGGTTTTCTACCCTTAACAGAAGCCGAGGGCTAAGGAAGGATCATTGGCTTTTATTACTGTCTTAAATGAAAGCTTATTTTTAAAATTTGACAGGGGCCTCTGAGAGTTTTCATTATAGATACCATGTGTGGGGTGTGTTCTTACCCCAATACAAAACATTGCCAGGGCTTTGTTCTCCTGGTGGTGGTGGATGTGGCCACCCAGGGAAATGGCTCAGGTGGGAGGACGAGAGGGTGTCTGAGAACTTGGCCTTGTCTGTGTCTCAGCTGGAAGAGGAAGTCTGGGTGCTTCTGTGCCATGGGGCCCAGGCATGTCCAAGCCCTTCCTTTCCGTTTTCCCCAGGTTCCCTCCCTCCAGTCATTTTGTGTTGTGAGATAGACTGAGGGGAAATTACTGTAGAGTTACATGTGGAGGCACCAACCCGACCACATGGAAGGCTTGGCAGAGTGGACACGCAGGCTGTAGAGACTCTTCTTGGCTTTGATCCAAGCTTCCCCCTCCTTGACCTCTAGAGGCAAGTGGATTCCCGCATGTGTCACACGGAGGTGACAGGACTCACTATATGGCTGGAGGAAGTAGAGGTAGGATTAGAATGGTTCAAGCAAATACAAAAAATATTAACTTATAGAGCAAATCATTATTTCAGGTTACAAATTAATATTTACTATGGTAAGTTTACCTTCATTAGTATTTTGAAATGATCTCAGTAATGAATCTGTAATGGTCTCTGGAACAAATCTTCTTGGTGCTGTATTCATAGAAGAGCTAAAAAGGACAGCAACTAGGAAAACCAGTTGAATTTCAGTAAGTCCATTGTTTTTTCTTTTTTTTTTTTCCTGCTAGATTTGTCTTCAGCAAAGCGGAAGTTTGCAGATTCCTTAAATGAATTTAAATTTCAGTGCATAGGTGATGCAGAAACAGATGACGAAATGTGTATAGGTAAGTCATGACCACAGAGATGGTCAAAACTTTCACTGTTTGCTACAGCGTTCACTGTTCTAGCAAAGCCTTTCTCTTGGGATGGAGGCCTGGAAGGTTAGGGAAGACAGAAACCTGCAGTGGTAGTGGAGGGCCAGAGACATAGGTAAGCAATGGACTTGGTGGTATTCTGAACTACCCCTCAGGTTCTGGGCTTGCCTCACCTTCCAATGTATAGGATAAACCATGAGGTTTTGTAGTGTTCTCTCGTGTCTCCCTTCCTTTAGTATTTCCCTTCTGGCTGGTTTGTGACATTTTTCTCCTCAAGCATAGAACTAAGTACTTAGGACAAAAGCAAATGCAAGTAGAGGAATAGGTCAGAGGTTGCAAAATGATAGCATGTGGACCGAGGTCAGAGTGCAGCCATGTTCTGCTTGACTTTAATTATTTAGATTGAGTTACTATTGAAGTAGAATTTATAGACATTGCCAGTTTTCTAGCTTCTTTGAGAAGTTCGAAAATCCTGTCTATTGGCCCTATGGTCTGGTGTGGTAGCAGCTGGCTGGAGCTACGTAGCTGCCAGTGGTTTTAGAAGGGGAGAGGAGCACAGAGTCCTGTTCCTGCAGCCCCCAGCTCTCTTTTGTGTTTCCTTCCCAAGAAGCTAGGGTGGGTACCTGCGTATCACACTGTGCTGCTTCATTCTTTACTATCACCTGCCTTCTGCAGGCAGCCCTGAGTATGGAGGGCCAGAAAGGTCAAGAATGATTCTTTGCCAGAGTCTTGTTATTGCTTTTCCTCTTGTTCTTGTTTTTCTTCTTACCTTGGACATCTTAGTTGACTCCGTGAAGGAAGGAAGAATTGAGACGTTAGGGCTGAGAGATATAGTAGAGCACATACTTAACTAGCACCCGTGAGCCTAGGGATTCACAATCCACAGTACCTCCCTCAAAAAAAAAAAAAAAAAATTGAGAAAATTGTAATGAATTGATTAATTCATCAAATGCTTATTGAATCCTTCTTGCCACGGAGGGCACCAAGATCTGGGGATCAGTAGACATTTGGGAGGCAGCTGAGAACAGTGAAAACACATACTTGATGTAACTTGTGAATGGATGGATGCTTCTCCTAGTATTGCACAAGTGTCCTGAGTATTCTCAGGGCGACAGCACTCAATGCCTGTTGGCTTCGTGAATAATTCTGGCAAAGAAGGCCATCCACATTTGACTGAGAGGCTGTGTTCTGTTACTGAGTGGCTTCAGGACTCAGGGAGGAGGAACCCAAGGAGACGCCAGAGATGTGGCTTCTGATGCCATCAGTGCTATTTATTTAGTTCTGGTGCCAAAGAAAAGGTTGAATTCTGACGTGGCCCCATAACAAAGGTTGAAGAGGTTGAATCCTGGGCAGGAAATCCTTTAATTCCTAAGCTGGACTCTGTCCCGTGCACCCTGGAGACTGGGAGCCTGCCAGTATCTCACCAGTCCTGTGTGCTCTCACAGATAATCAGGTCTTTTCCTTCAAGAAATCTTTCCCTAGCTAGAGTGCCAGATGCAAGAACCTGCATTTCTGGGTCATCTGTCCTTAATGGTTAGTGATTAAAAGATTAGGATAACTTTAGGAAGCAATTGACTGTAGGCATCTGCATGAATAGGAATTTAAGTCCATAGCTTTAATAGCGGCACTGGAAAGGCTCCTAAAGACCCATCACTCTCCTTCAGCCTCACGACTGTCTCTTTCTTTTTTCCAGCAAGGTCTTTGCAGGAGTTTGCCACCGTCCTCAGGAATCTTGAAGATGAACGGATACGGATGGTGAGTATGGCTGGGATGCTCTTGGTACCAGACAGTATATGCACATGGAGCGGGGAGAGATTTGTTTTCAGAGGACTGGAGTTTGAGTTCTGCCACTGGAGTGCTTTGAGCTTGGAGTGAGCCTTGCCTTTGCAGAGTCTGAGGCTTTTGTAAATGTTAATAGATTACTGGTGCATAACTTCAGAACAGTATCTCTGTCCCCCGAAACATTTCTCGTTAGGTCTGTACCTATAACTATATAAGGTATAGAACTTAAGGGTGGATTTCTTGAATGATTTAACTTTTGAGGGCTTGAGATTATTTACCAGCAGAATGAAAAAAGAAGGTATTCTACTATGATCCCTCTGCCTCATGACTTATTAAACCTGTCCAAGAGCCTTAGAGGGCCAGGAGCACCACTTCACTTTTAATTCTGAAGCACCTGAACAGAACCTGCTATGTATCTAACCCCAGGAAATTGTACTTCATGAATGAAGGTAACTCTAAGATCTTCAAAGAGAAATGCTGTACAGATTCAAGAATCAGATGCTGCTCTCTGGTTTTGTGAGAGCTATCTTTTGAATTAGCAGTCATTCTGATGTGGTTTAGTGTTAAAGGGTGAGAGATCTCACATTCATAGAAAGTTCCTTGGCATCTTCTCCCACATCCCTTAGATATCAGGAATGTCCCTAGAAGGACTTGTCCCCAGGCAGCAGAGCTCCAGAGATGTCGGGAAGCTGCCAAGATTTGAGCATTTTTCTTCTTTTCCTATAGCAATAGCTGACAGTGTGAGTCCTGTTTACCAAGACATTATGTGGTCAAGTACTTTACATGCATATTCTATTTAACTGTCTTGATGCCTCTGTGGAATAGTATTTATCTCCAGTTTTTTCACAGAAAGAGATTATAGGCTTACCAAGGTTAAGTAACTTGTCCAGGATCACACTGCTAAAAAGTGGTAGAGTCTGGATTCAAACCTAAGTCAGCATTACACCAAAAAATATGGGTATTTTTTAAAAATTCCAAACAGAGCAGAAGCCTACTACTTTCCCAGAAGTCCCCTGCGGAGAGAGACCCTGTTTCTCCCGATTGCTCACTGCTGGTGCTTGAACAGAATCAGGAAAGGTAGTGGTGGTGGCAGTGGCAGGGTTGGGGGCAGGTGGAGGGAGGGGAAAGCCTGTGTGTTTGTGCACGTGCTAGTGCCTAAGAAAGGGCAGTGATTCTTTTGAGTCTGATTTCTTGGCTGAGTCAGTATTTGGGGGTGGGGGATGCGTGGTGAGCAAATCACCATGAATCCCCTGCAGATTGCTATGGCTTGCGGTAAGGGAACAATGGCAGGATTATGCTTTTCAGCTTGCCTCTGCAATTTTATTATTAATGTCAGTGAATTGAGTTTCTGCTGTCTGCATTCGAGTATTTGGCCATTACAAGCTCCTTTTCACCCCTCTGTGTCCTATAATAGTTCATCATCTGTTAAGCTCAGTTAAGCCAAGGTGCACCTTCTTTGGGAAGTCTTCCCTAACTTCCTGGGATGTTTGGCCACATCCTTTGCGCTTTGTGAACATCTAGTCTTGCCTCTGATTCTGCACTTTTCACACTGTGTCCTGATGGTCACTGTATGTGTCTGCACCCATATTAAATATAAGTTCCTTAAGGACTGATGGTGAATTTCTGTGTCCCCAACTTCAAGCACAGTCCTTGAAGCTGAGTGGAATGTAAACACTCATAGAATCTTAGACCCTGAGGGACCTTTTTCCTCACCATCTGTGATCACACATTTAACAGATGGGAAAGCAGTCTTATCAAGGCTTATAGCAGGTTATAGTAGGATTGTGGTAAAGACTTGGGTATTTCATTTCCCATGTGAAATGCCTTCCTATACTGAACTAGTTAGGGTTGGATTCTCAGTTATGGATGCCCAATGGAATATCTTGGGGATGCTTTAAAAATACTGATGTCTGGGACATCATTTGCTATTTGGTGTGAGGTGTTGGTGTGTGTTCTGGACATTGGGGTTGTAAAAGCTTCTCAGTGATTCTAATGTACAGCTAATGCTGAGAAGCACTGACCTGGGTGCTGAGCACAGCTTTGTGAGCCTTAGAGACTTTCAATGGATTTGAGGAAAACACTTTAGTGAACCAATTAAGCAGTACCAAATGATAAAAAATAAAAACAAATATTGCAACACTTTAGTATTAAAGTGTACTTTTCTGGAATAACATGTAATTATAAATAATTTTAAAATTGAGAGAAGGGCAAATAGAAATCAATTTGGAGACCTGTCTTTCTGTCCCTTACATTGTCCTGTCCTTCACTGTGTCCATCCAAGGCTTCTGGCATTGACTTGGTTGGTTTCATTGCAAATGACATGCATGTGATTTAGAAAAAATAATGCCTTGTGCAGTGAGATTCCTGAAATAATTAGTTGAGTGAAGAGTGACCAATGAATGACTTAAAAGGAAAGACTGTAAAATACTGTACTGCCTTAGAAAATAACATAGACTTTTAGAGCTGGGAACAATTTGGCCCATACATTTTGGTATGGGTACAGGTGAAGACATTAGAGCCCAGAGAGGTTAAACGTTTTACCTTTGGTCACACAGTTGGCAGCCAGTCCAGAAATCAATTCATTCATTCATTCATTCATTCATTCATTCATTCATAAGTATTTGAGTGCTCCTTTGTTTTACTGCTTTTTTTTGTGCTTTGTGGATAGTGGTAGCCAGATAAATCTTTACAGGATTTGTGTGTGTGTGTGTGTGTGTGTGTGTGTAAATGTGTATAGTATTGAACCAGAAAACTACCTGGCATATGTGTTCTGAAGAAGACATTTTGTAGGATGGTGGGCAGCTTCTTGGGATTATATTGGTAGTCAAGGAACCCCTCCCTAAAGAGGTGACCTGTGAGCTAAATCCTTAATTATGATAAGGAGTCATTCACGTAGCGGTTTGGGGGCAGAGCATCTGAAAGAATAGGCAGAGGCAAAGTCCTCAGGTGGGACAAGTTTGAGGTGCATGAGGGTGACAGTAGATTGGAGTGTAGGACCTCAGGGGTGAGCCCCATGAGATGGCATTGAGAAATAGCTAGTGGTCAGGAGGCACAGATGTTCTGGCTCCAGTCCTGTACCAGAGAAGCAACACAACAGGCTTGAAGGGCTTTTGTGTCAGCAGGTTTCAGAGGTGTTTTATGTTCATTTTTAACTTAGACTGACTGTTGATTTACTTTACCTGTAACTTTGAAGAATAGTCATTTATACGATGTTGCCAGATGCTTGAAATTTAGACCCTACTCTGAAACCAGTTCCCCTCTGCCTACATGTGGTTTGCTAACACTTTCAGATGTTCTCACTTTTCCTTTTAAAGAGTTGATATTGATTATGCACAAGAGGAATATCATGTTTTAAATCGATGGCTAGATTTTGTTTTGATGACTGTAAGAATTGCAAACAGCAACATATGGACATATTGCTTACTCAAACTTTATTCCACGACTGGCGGGGGTTGTGTGTGATGGAGCTGCTCTACTCATCCTGCTTTTGTCCCTTATCCTCACTCCCTTTCTTATTTTCTTCACCAGATTGAGAATGCCAGTGAGGTACTCATCACTCCTTTGGAGAAGTTTCGAAAGGAGCAGATTGGGGCTGCCAAGGTGAGAACTGTGTAAACTTTGTTGTTGGATTTTTAGGTGGTGGTCTGGAAAGTGCTCCTTTAAAATCCAAGAACACCATGGAAAATGTAAGCCCTCATACTTAAACTTCTACTTGATAAACTGAACCCTAGCTCCTCCGCACTTTGCAGGGGACTGAAGTGCAACTGTAGCGATCAGCCACCATTCGCCAGTCCACTGTTTTCTTCTGTGCTAGTTGGTAAACCACCCAGAGGTAGACACTACATCTCCTTTGTGTTATTAGATGGCTGTATGCAGGGGCAGTGTGTTTTGTTTTGTTTTTGGTAGAACTGTCTTTTGGGGAGGTCTCACAGCCTGAGCAGATAGTTTCCCATCAGGTTCCCTCTTGATCTTCAAGTGTTTCATGAGAAAATGAAAAGAGAAATTGAAAAGCCACATATTTATGGGAAATGTTTTGTAGGCAAATAATTTAAAGAAAATACGTTTTACTCAGTGAATAGGTCAAAAACTATGTCTGCAGGCCTGTTCCCACCCAGGGGTCACCATGTATTATCACCAATCTGGAGGGACTATAGCCCCAAATTGGCTGATTCAAATGAGCTATTAAAGGACTGTAATGGGAATCTAGTTTGTTTGTAGAGGTTAGATTCTCCAGCGTCACTCTCCCCTGTGATGAACCGCGGCAGCCTTAGTGGGTCTGACCTTCAGTAGAGGGTTAGAGGCCACCTGCGAGGAAGGTATTTTCATTGGAATCAACAGACAAAAGACTTTCCACATTTTCCTGTTTTTCTGGAATTGTCAGTTCAGCCTCAGTCCCTTACGCCACCTACAGGGAGTTTTGGGCACCACCATCTTCTTACTTGGTGGGCCTCACTTGGTTGTGAAGAAATGTCCTTGAGAAGCGATTGTAGGTGGAAAAGCAATAGAGGAAGTGTACCAGAATGAGTGTGTGCAGGTTCTCAAGCCTTCTCATGCTTGCGCACTCCCTTTAGTCGCCCACCCTGTCTCCCAGAAATAGATAGGGTTACTGAAAAAAGATGTTTAGTCCGAGTCTTTCAGAGGAACGGGTGGTGTCTCTTGAAGAAGACACTGTGGCAAAGGTATTTTTTTTCCAGTTTCACAGCATGTTCACATCAATTTCAGTTTACATTCATGAAGAAATTGGTGTCCATTAGTTTTGTAGCCAAGATTAAGGAGTGTGTAATTTCAAGGAAGTCTTGCTCTACTCACATTTCGTCTGGGACTTTGGGTTGACCTCCTGAGGGTGGAGAACACTTTGGGAAGGGCTCTCTGGGTCAGGGCCTGGGAGGGGCGCCTGTGGAGCAGCCTCAGGGCCTGTGCTTTCCCCCTCTGAGCACACACTGCCCCGAGGCGCCAGGGAGGCTGTGGGATGGAGCTCTCTGAGGCAGAGGCAGAACAGACCTGCTCATTGAGTCATCCTTCCAGTGGTTACTTCTTCTGGGCAGACGCCTCTCACCCTCACCTCTTCCCGTGCATTGTTCTGGGAGTCATCATAGTCACCACCGAGAAGCAGAAATCTGAGTGGGCTCCCTTTGGGTTTAATACAGTACCAGTGGGGGTTTTAGTGGTGGGATGTGTAAAAATAAAAGAACTTGTATGAAATAGTCACCCAGTGAAACATGTTTTCTGTCATGCATGCTTTATTCTCTCATTCAATTAATAATCACCATCAGTCATTAAATTTTTTGATAATAGCCATCAGTTATTAAAGTGATTTGGGTGGCATTTGGGATCATTTCTCATTCCTCTGTCTTTGTCACATCTTTTTTCTCCTGCACTACAATATACCCTCCTCTTCACCACCCACACAACTTATATATTTGTGTCATAGTATTATGTAAGTTTAAGAGAAAACAAACTAAAAAACCTCCTAAAAGGTAGTCTAGGGAGCAGACTCAAGAACATCTTAAGAGCTGTAAAGTACTCTTGAGCTGATTTTAGCGGTGGCCTAATGGAGGTTCCTGAACTCTGCCTGTGTGATGCTAAAATTACTTTTCCTTCCTCCTCTTCTCTGTGGTGCTGCTTGGGTTGCTCTAATCACCTATTGTAGAGCACGTAGAGTGAAGGCTTCTAGGCAGGGGATTCTTGGGCTTTTTCATGTGGATATGGCTGCTGAGGAGGTCAGGACCCTGGAGCTTGCTAGAACCATGACCTGAGGTTTTTATTTCTGAGTTTGTTAAAGTAGATTTTCTAATGCACCGTAGGCAGATTGGGAGTGCCGGGCTCCATAATGAAAGTAGAATAGTCATTAGAGAGTAGTGGTTAAGCATGGCCTAGAGTGAGGCTGCTAGAGTCCAAATCTCACTTCTGCCACTTGCATGCAAACTTGGGGAGGTTCCTCAGCTTTCCTATGCCTGTTTCCTGATCTGTAAAGTGGGAATAATAGTAGAACTTATTTACAGAATTATGATGAGGAAGAAATGAGTGAGCTCATACAAAGTACTTGAAACAAGTATCTGTCATATAGCTCCTTGGACACGAGGATAGTGGCTGTCATTTTGCCATTTGATATTGGTTATTAAGTTAGATTTCCTTAAGAAAATATGTGAGAGCCTGCTGTGTGTCCAGGGCTGGCTTTGTACTGATGTTTGGTGGAGAACAAAGCACATGTGTTGCTGTGCTTGTGGTGTAGCTAGAGAAAAAGGAGTTGGACAGAAAGATACAAACAAAGGTGTAATTTCAAGTTGCAGTAGGTGCTTGGAAAGTGTGCCTCCGTGGAACATGGTACATCCAAGGCAAGTGGTATTCCTGGTGAGAAGGGGCTGGGTGTAGGGGGTGAGCTTGCCCTCACCACCCTTATCACCATCACTGAAAATTATTGAGTATTTTCCATGTGTCAGTTGTGAGCACTATGTATGGTTTATCTCATTTCATCTGAACCATCCTATGAAGAAGAGGTTGTTCTGATCCTTATTTTATTATGCAGTCTTTGAGCTGAAAGATGAAAGCTGCACAATTGTCTCTTCTAGTCTTTCTGAACTTAGAGATGAAGACATGGAGTCCTGGAGAGGGATATTGCTTTGCGTAGAGTCAGTCTTTACAGCATTGGGAATAAATTGCAGGACCCTAATTCTGTCCTTTATTTACTTAATCACCCCACAGCAGCCTCTCTGAAAGGTGGGAGTCTTGTGTCCTGAGTAGCTGAGGAATGCCTCCCTCCTATCTCAAGAATATCACTTGCAGAGGTCATAGTACCATTTTTTCTCTTTTTTTTTCCCGTTTGCTTTACTCTCTCTATAGCTCTGGGTATCCTCTTGAACATGGAATGTGGAGCTGGGGTTGCCAGAAAGTCAGAGAATGCCAGTGGCTCATGTTCCCTGGGCTTTCTCATCTCTGGCCGGCTGGACTGTGCTGGCCCTGGGGTTCTTGTTTTGGGGCTGCTGACAAGGCTGGTAGGAGTGGATATATGGCACATTAATGGGAGTTGGAGCCCAGCTCCAAGTTTCTGGTTTATATAAAGAAAAAGAGTTGCTTGCCAGTATCCTCAAATTTGACAGTGATGTTTCCTTAGGCTTTTTCTTTGCTTCTCTATGTTTCATCGTTAGTGTGTAAATGATTATTTGATTGTTCACCCACCCTGTGAAGCTTAGAGTCTTGCTGTGGTCCTGGTAAGGGTGGGAGCCTGGAGGGCTTCAGATCCTGGCTTCTTGGCTCAGGCTTCTTCCCTACACAGAGTGTGCGCACCTGTTCTCCTGCTCCAGAAAGCTCCACCCACTCTGCATGTGTTTAGCAGGTCTTAGCTCACACCTCCCCTCCAAGTGAGGCCTTTCCTGAGTACTCTATCTAAAGCATCTCTGTGACCACACTCTGTTTCCTTTGCAGCCCTTTCAGCAGTCTGAAACGATGCTGCTTGCTCGTTTTTGGTTCATTGTGTTTCTCTCTCTACTAGAACATTATCGTCATGTGGGCAGGGTCAGCTTCTGTCTCACATTTTCAGTGCCTGTGTGGAGCTGGAACAGAGTGGGTGCTTATTGTAAATTAGGTAAATGAGTAAAGAGATGTCTTTGAGTTTCCCTATCTTGCTTGAAAATTTTTTTTGCACTCATAGGCGTTAGAGTGGCACAGAAATACCTTCTGTGAGCTCTGTATGACTCAAAAGCAGGAGTTAGTAAATTTGAACCTGCTTATTGGACTGGTGCCAGCTTTCTCCCACCCACCTTGCCTACAGTCCCCACTCGAATGTGGAAGGAAAAGAGACTGCCCGTGGCAGTGCCTCAGCTGTGGTAGAGAATATGGGTTTTGGAGGCAGATCGCCCTGAGTCCAAACCTCAGTTCTGTCACTTTCTGTGACATTTTGTAAGTTAACTTCCCTGGGTCAAAATTTTCTTATCTGTAAAATGGGAAATAAAAATAGAACCTCAGTGACTCAAGGACTTGATGATGAATTAATATGTGTATTATTGTAATTATTTTTAATTTTGAAGGCAATAATTTAGGCTAATAAAAATTTCCCAAAAGGGAGGGAAAAATTTCCATTGCTCTATTTCCTTAACTGAGATATTTCCATTTAAGCTTACACCTGTCTTATCTTTGTCCATAGGTAGATACCCTGTGTTACAAATTTATATCACGTTATTATAGTTTTCATTATCTCTTGTGCCACTGAACAGTTTCCGTGTAATTAGTTACATTGGATATTCTATGCTTTAATAATGACAAACACTATTTTGGGGCAGTGGTGTTGCTTCTGCTTGTTTTGTTTTGCTGTTATCAATGGTGTTGTCATGAACAAGTTTGTGAAGATACCATCTTATGGTGTTTCGAATTCTGCAGCATAGAGACCTATATGTGGCATCAGGTGGTAGGTCTCTAAATGAAGGTGTTCTGTTTGAACGCTGGTAAGCCTGGCTTTAGCTTTAGTGTAAACTTGTCCCGGTACACTGAGGATAGCATTAGCTTCATATGTAACCTCCATATCCTTATTTTCTCTAGCTTGACATTTTTGTGGATTAGAAACTAGAAATTTTGGTCTCACAATTGAAGTTCCAGTTCCCCCCCGCCCTCCTTTATGCCTTTATGATGCTGGTGATCAAACCTGTGTCTGTGTCTCACTCGTGCTAAGCAGGGACTCTGCGAGCTATATCTGCAGTCCCCATAATTAAAGTTCTTAGAAGGCAGAGTTCTGGTTTTGGCAGTATTCAATACTGGCATTGCCTTGTTTCTGAGGTTGTGCTGCTGCCTCCGTGCCAGACAGATGCTCAGATGCAAGGGCCATGCCAGGAGAGTGGCATGGCTTGATGGGTGTAATTTGCAGAGCAGGAGCCCTGCTGTCTGCTGCTTTTCTGTGCAGAGGAAACAGCGAGCCTATAAAGGGGAGCCGAAGGGTCTGCAGCGACTGAATTGCTTTATTCCTGCAACCTGTTACTCTTTTCATTTTCTCTGTTTGTCTCTTTCTCTCTTTTTTTTTTTTTTTATTCTTTTTGCCAGGATGCCAAAAAGAAGTATGACAAAGAGACAGAAAAGTATTGTGGCATCTTAGAGAAACATTTGAATTTGTCTTCTAAAAAGAAGGAATCTCAGCTTCAGGAGGTAAGAAATTTGACATATATCCTGAACAAAATATGTAAGTTGTACACAGTGCTGTGCTTGCTCTTTGCCAGAAACCTTAGGTCTTCTGCCAGAGACCTCGGAAACTGGGAGCTTGATCCTGATGCCTCCTCCACTTCCTGATGCCTGAATTGCCTCTGTAACCTCCTGTCCCACCCACCCACCTTTGTAGCTCTGGCTTATGCTGCTGGCCAAGAAGGCGGCCTGCTGGTGGAACAGCCCTCATTGCTAGACTGGCACTCCTCACTGCAAGCTGAGATCTGTCTTCCTGTTTCTTTCACCCTTGGCCTTAATACTGCACTGTTTCCTTAGCTCTGATTTCCTGTCTATGTCAGTGACTTACATTGTTAGCATCTGAAGCGTTTTCTTCGTCCTTCCTTAATGTTAATTTTTAAATATTATTTCAGTAGTATTTGACAGTAGTTTTTCCTGTCTTTTCTTTTTTGTCTTAATTGTGTTTTACTGTCATTTATACATATGTATATTTTTTTTGGCGGGGGGGGGGGCGTGTTGGTTTTGTTTTCATTTTTTGAGTTTTGGTAACCTTGTTTAAAGAAAATACTCATCAGCCTGTTCCTGGTTCCTTTGGATTTGCATGGGATCTTTTTAAAAAGTATTTCACTTGGAAAGAGAAGTCAGCTTTAGAGCCCTGGAGTTTTATTGTATTATTTAGTTTGTGGAGATTTGCATGGTGAGGAAGTTTTGTTTCTGGGAGACAGTACAGTTTCCTAGTAGAACCCTTGTTTTGGCCTCATGAGTGTCATTTTATTTAACTCTTAACAATTTATTTAACTTTTCTCATGATATGTCTCTGAAGAGAAGTGTAGGCTTTCAGGCTACCCATCATTCTTGAGTTTCATTTCCTTTTGAGGCCATGTCATGCCAGTACTGACAGCAAGTGAAAAGACGAAAGATGCATGTAACTCAGGAGATGTGGAGTCCAGTTCCCGCCCAACCATGATTCCAAATACATCTTTGGATAGGAATGTGATATTCTTAGAAATTTTTGCTTTGAAATGAGTATTTGAACTGATTGTTTGGTGCCATGGGTGTAGCTCAATGGTATGGTGCTTGCCTAACCTATGCAAGGTGCTGGGTTCCATCTCCAGCACCACAAAAAAACACAAAAGTACCAAAAAATCGAGTCATTGAGTAGTGATAAGGATCCTAACTCACTAGATGCTTCCCGAGGACAGGTAGGTTGCTCCTGATAATTCTGTAATTCATTTAAGATCTGTCTCAATACCCTCACTTGCTAGTTCTGATTCTTCTAATACTAGATGGCATTTAGGTTTGGGAACTCAAATTTTAGGAAAATTTCTTTGGCTATACCTGACAGTGGCCAACTCTCTCTAGCTCTGCAGCTTCTTCTTGGTTATACATCACTGTTAGGGTGACCATTGGTATAGTCAGGATTTATTTGGGAAAAGATTTAATACAGGACACATACTTTATACGATCATTTTATAATATTCACACAAAAAGTCAAATGCAGAAGAGTGCAAGAGATCTCTCCATGCACCAGAGACTCAAAGAATCCAGCTGAGGGCCTGGATCCAATGGAAGTGTCCTCCATGAGTCCAGCTGGAGACCTGCAGCCCAAGACAATGTCTCATGTGAGTCTTTATCAAGGATCTACACTGGGAAGGCCCAAAGGCCAGTGGTGGAAGCTAGAAAGTCTGAGGCAGCAGGATGAAGGATCTACACTAGCAGGCTGAGGGATCTGCACTGGAGCCATGAGGTGATGCTCAAGGTAGGGACCAGAGCTCTACCAAAGAGAACTGGAGCCATCCTCAGCAACAGCAAGGACCGGAGTTCCTCTCCTGATGAGAACAGCAGAGTTCATATCAGGAAAGGCAGCACAATAAGCTTCTCCAGGAGAATCAGCAGAGGCACACCATCTTCCCCTCCAGTTGTCTTTCTATGCTACTGGCAACAATCCTCAGGTGGGCCTTCCACACCCAGAACCACGCTGATTGAGCTCAGCTGGGTGTTACATGTTGCCCATTAGTTAATCCACCACAACCATGCACCTCACTGCAGCTGTCCAATGGGGAGTAGGTGGGTGGAAGTTCTAGCACCTGCTGATACCGGGAGCGCCCAGTTATCCTGTAGGCGTAGTGGTCTCCTTGGTGAGGGTCCATTCCATGCCTGGATATTACTGACTTTGGAATGAATCCAGTGTTTTCTTTAAGGATCATTCTAATGCCATTTCCCTCTGAGTTATCATAGCATAAGGACCTGAATCCTGTGCTACCAAAGAGGGTTTCCTCCTTCTGGATTTACCCTGTGTTGTATGTGCTGTGTGACCTGCAGCAAGTTCCTTAGGCTGTCTGAGCATCCATTCCTTTATTTGTAAAATACTCATAAACCCATTTTGACTAATTCATGAATGAGAAGGCAAACCATTGCTACTGAACCAATATAGATATTATCCCTATGACTGGCCTGCTTCTCTCTTCCCTCTACCCATGTTGAATGGCACTATAGACTTTGCCATTATGTATCTCAGTGAATGTTTTTTATTATGCTCTTTTGTTACAGTTCTTTGTGTTCCTGGCTTTTACCTACTCATGCTTTCTAATTACTTGGAGGGCAAGGATTGGGCTTTGGTTTTTTCTGCAAGTTCTGGTTTGTTCAGGTCCAGTTCTCAAGCCTTGCTGTGTAGGTATTCCTATGCTAAATTACAGAAAGAAATGTCCAGCAACACTAACAACATACGACTACTACTCACAACATTAGTAGCATTTATTGAATGTACATTTATGCCTGATGCACTGTGTTAAGGGGTCTTCTTGAGTCCTCACAGCTGTCCCATGAAGTCTGGATGTCAGTGTTATATCTGAGGAGACAGAGGCTCAGAGCTGGTGAATAGCCTGCCCGTAGCTAGCTGATCCTGTCACCTAGCTGTGGAGCCCTTTTCCCATACAGAGTTTTCTTCTCTCAGGAAGGGTCTAGAAGCTCTGATCCCTCCAAGTCATGCAAATAGAAATGGAGAGAAGGAGGGACCTGGGCAATCATCTAGTGGAACTTCCTTTAATGTATTCGAAGGATCTGAGTTCCTAGCAGAGGTGAAGTGATGTGCTTATTAAGATGTTCTGGCTATTTAGTAATGATTTTCTTCACTTGTGTTTTAAACATTAAGTTCTAGGAGCATTACTAAATACCTGCCGCATCTTGGATAAAACCTGCTACCATTAATTATCCAGAATTATTCCCTGATTGCAGAACTTTGGATTGAATGCTTCTCAATTTGAGTCCATCGCCCAATCTGTGGAGGGAGAAATTACAGGGCGGCAGTGTGGGATGACACTGCCATCTAGTGGAGTAAAAGAAACAATCCACAGTGGCTAAGAAGTTTGTATCAAAACCAGTATGTGTAGGACTGTGCAAGTCTGGTCAGGCTCTGGGTATTTTATGGGGAGTGACATGAAGGATCTACTGTCTGGGAACTTAGCAGTTTTGGAGAAACACAAAATGATCGCCAGGTCTGTTCAAGCTGGAAGATTTATAGTTTAAGTAACAGAGAAACAGTTGTGAGTTGGCGTATTGGTATTCTGTCGCTATAACTAAATGCTTGAGGCTGAGTACCTTATAAAGAAAAGAGCTTTACTTAACTTACAGTTTTGGAGGCTGAAATTTCAGACAGCATAGCACCAGCTCTGGCAAGCTGCTCCTCCTCCTGCACCACTTCATGGGGGTGGTGGCATCACAATGGCAAGAGCCACAGGGTAAGACAGGAAGCTAGAGAGAGCAAGGAGGGGCCAGTCTTGTTTTAATAAAACAAGTTTCTCCAGAGAATTAACTAAGGCCTCAAGAAAGTGCCTCCCTTCCAAAGGCAGTGCCCCAGTGACCTGCCATTAGGTTCTACACCACCTCCTAGTGCTTTCACACTGAGGGCCAAGCCCCCAGGACATGAATTTTGGGGACACACTCGAACTATATCCAGATCATAGCAAGTTGTCTGGCAATCAGGTTAGAATTGTGGCTTCTGATTCCAGCTTAGAGTCTCAGGGTGTTATAAGTTCTATGGCCCACAGTAAGCCAGGGTGCTGGCGAGAGAATCCCATTGCAGTTGGGATTTCTTTTGTTTTCTTTGGAAAACGCATTGAACTATGTGTTTCTAGTTAGTGCTGGGTCACGGCAGGGACATGGCTTTGGTGCTGACCGACAGCCACGTGGGGAGCCATCCATTCAGTCTGCTGATCATTTCCTGCCACCCAGGTACTTTTCTGGGCCCTGGGATAGAAAAGGTATCTGTTCTCACAGATACAGACTGTGTTCTAGTGGGCAATGCAAAAGAAAAGAAAGGAATAAATAAGAATTGCACACCGTGATAAGGATGTAATTGGGAGATAAGGTGGTTAATGAATGCTTCTCCAAAAAGCTCAGATCTGAGCCTGGGAGAGTAAGACGTGAGCTGCATTAAAGGCTAGGACAGTTTTTCAAGCTGTGGGTGTATAATAAAATTCAGAATTACTGGGTCATACGATAGCATACAGTAGGCAAGATAAAAATATGAAAGTTCATTGTACTAATTAACAGTGTGTGTTTATTGGGTCGTTGTGAAAAGTATTTCTAATTAGGCACTTAAGTAAAAAGAAATACACATTTATTTAGGGGAAGACGTTTTCAGGCAGGAGGAGTGCTAAGTGCAAAGGTTTTCGGCCAGAAAGAGGTTTGGAGCATCAGAGAGTAGGAAGAGATCAGTGCCAAGCACAGTTAGGGCCAGTTAGGCTGGGAGGAGGGGCGCTGGGCTGGGCAGGTAGCATGGGGCTTTGCACTGCACGGTGGAGGCCAGGGGGAGGCCTTGGAGGGGCTGAGAGGCCATCTGACTTAGAGTCTAAGAGGCATTCTGGCTGCTAGGTGGAGATCGGGCAGGTGAGAGAACCCAGGTGAGGAGATTGTTAGGCGGGAAATGTGTGGCCCAGGGATAGTGTGCTGGCTTAGGGTTGGGGCAGGGACTGCGGCCCATTGATGCGGAAGCGCCTGGTGACAGGTACCAACCAGTAGCCATAGGACGCTTCCTGTTCCCACTTATTCACATCTGCTAGCCCAAGGGCAGATATTATTATCTCCACCTTCCGGGTGGGATCAGTGACTGGAACAGGTACCGGTAGCTGGAAGGTCGTAGAACTGGAACCTGCACCCAGGTCAGCTGTCTGATGCTACAGTTGGCTCCTTGTTCCTTGCTGGAATTTCCTTCTGGCTTTTTCATCTTGCTTATGCTGCGAGAGACTCTGCAGATTTTCAGAATGATCCTCTCCCTCGCCTAACAGTCTTAGTCAGCAAGCCCGTGGAGAATGTGTGAGGTGTGTGTGGGATGGTCAGAGCAAGAAGTTGGATTCATTGGTGTCAGTGTGTTGCAGTTGCACCCCAAGGACTTTGAAAGCTGCTGGAATATACGAGGCAGGGCTGGCAGGAACCCAGCTGGGAGATGTGTCAACCCAGTTGTCTAAGCAGCTGTACAAGGCAGAGGGGGTGTACGGTCCTTCCCAAAAATTGCCACCAGATAAAGATCTTCTTTAGAAAATGCCCTTGGCCTAGCCGCTCTGTTTTATTCAACAGTTACTCAGCAGACCATCCTTCTGGCGTGAATGTGTCGTTTGCCTGGGAGGAAGTTGGTAGCATGAGAGACGTGAATACACACTCTGAGGCTTCTTCATTGTATCTTGTATTTTACCAGAGCTTATAACTTTCTTTTTATTTACATAGTTATTTGACTGAGTTTGCACTGTGTTTTTTTCTTCATTGTGCTGTATGCCTCATGAAGGAAGTTTTCTTACTGCTTGTGATAGCTGAATGAATGATTTACTAAGATCTGGCAGTGTCATGGTAGCATAATGTCTTTGGGATTATGGAAGGATTCATCCCAGATTTCTTCTGCGGGAATCTTGACAAAGGAACAATAAAAGAAATATCCTTTGGGGTGCTCTTTTGTCTCAGTAGAGTGTGTTATAGAACTGGTTGTGACTAATTTCTAAGGAAAACAGTGTTTTGTTTCCTACTAGCAGCATAGTTCATTTACATTAAAAAACAACATTCACTATAATGCTTTGTTGGTGAAATGTGCTTTCAATGAAACGTGTGTTTTGAAAGAACACGTCACAGCCATTTGTGGACAGATGGAGAACTCTGAGTGAGGGCTGGGCATCTCTTTAGCAGAGCATCCTCATGGAGTCATACTCAGCCTCACTCTAGACAGGAGATTGCAGCTCTGTGCTTTAACTGTACCCACTGTGGGCCTGTCCTGGACACCACCTGCGTAGAGGGAAGTGTGGGTGTCTGGGGGAGCAATGTAATTATCCTCTTTGGATAAATGGTAATTTATCCTTGTCATTAACAAAGTACTTGGCACTTATATGAAAATGTCCTGTTTTGGGGTCCCTGCCCTCTAACAGCTTGCTTTGCTCATGAAGAAGGATGGGATGAGGATGGTTCAGAAGGCTTGCTTTTTTTTTGTTTGTTTGAGACAGAGTCTGAGTTACCAGGCTGACCTTGAAATCTTGACCCTCCTGCCTCAGCCTCCTAAGTAGCTGGGAGGCCTGTGCCACTGCACCTAAATTTTTTTTCTGCTCTAAAAGTCTGCCATGGAACTAAGGTGTGGGGAGGCAGTAGAGCTCTGTCTTGGGTACTTTTCTGTCCTTGCTGAGACAAAATACCCAATGCCCAAAATTAAGGAAGAAAAGGTTTATTTAGCTCAGAGTTTGTGGAGGTTTCAGTCTATAATCGGCTGGCTCCAAGGCTGGGTGACAGGGCACAGGGGCAATACTTCAAGGCGGCACAAGACAGCAAAAGCAGCAAGAGCAAAAAGCGGGGGTGGAGGGAGCAAGCCTCTTTCCCTCCCTTATATTGTAAGCAGGCTACCCTGACCCAGGAGGCGTGTAGCACTCACATGCTTTCCATGCCCTCCTCTTGCACAGGCTCAGGATAAATACCAAGTGAGGACCTGGCCCCTGGCCAGTCACTTAGTTAACCTTCTAAACTTCTGAAATTGACACAATGAATAGCATCCCAGAGGGTAAGGGCATGTCCTTTTCATGGCAAGATGTAGAACTGCTGAGTCTCTTAGCCAAGCCTCTAGACTCAAGTTGACACAATATATCAACCATAACAGGCTCTTAAGAATGATTAAGGGTCTTGGAGACAGACCCACCAGGACAGAAGTCCCAGTCCTGTCCTCTAACAGTTGCAAGACCTTAGTCAGGTTTCTTCATGTTTGTGTGCTTCATTTTCTTTCTGCAATTTAGAGGTGAAGATATCATTTCTTTTACAGGAATATAATGAGGGTTATATAGTTAAAATTAATGAGGACTAAACAAAGTGTTATATATAGTTATTTATATAGTTATGGACATGGTGCCTGGCATAAAATTAGTGTTGAGCTAATCATTATATTCATATTTCTGTATCATGCTGTTTGATTTGCTTTTAAAAATTGTCTCCAGGGAATTTTTTCTGCTTACTCAGTGTTCTTGTTGCACAGTGACTGGATTTGCCTCTTACATCCTGTCTTCTTTGCAGGCAGACAGCCAGGTAGACCTGGTCCGGCAGCACTTCTACGAAGTCTCCCTCGAGTATGTGTTCAAGGTGCAAGAAGTGCAGGAGAGGAAGATGTTTGAGTTTGTGGAGCCTGTAAGTAGATGTGCAGGGTTTAGTGATGTACTTTGATCTGTACCTTTCATCTTAGCCGCCTAGCTGGTTACAGTGTCGTACATTGTTGATGAGAAGCTCAACCAGCCTTGGTGTTGTGTCTTCTGCTGAGAACCGTGTTTTGTCAGTCTGGCTCTTCTGTACTCTTCCTGGGAGCCATTCCCGTACAAGCTCATTGATGGGGGTGGAGTGGTCAGTGATACGTAATGCCTTCCTGTGGCTACCCAGGGTTGTGATGTTTGGTCTCCAGGTGGAAGAAGTGTCATGGAGTCCAAAAGGGGTCTACTATACCATAGGGATTACATCCTAACTTACCTCCTTTCACACCCTCCCTCGTAATTCAGCTGTGATAGTAACCCAAGGAAATAGCAGAATGCACATAGTATCCTTTCTCTTTTCACCCCTTGGTTTAGAGCCTCTCTATAGCCTAGTCAGGTAGTAATAGATGCCATATATAAAGCAGTTTCTCATAGTGGCTTTGTTACAGCCAGAGCAGCATCTAAATTCTATTGAGTGGATCATGATGGAATTTGGACTGGGGCATAGTGTCCCAGTGGGCATGAAAGATTACCCTGTGGGGCCAGGGATATAGCTCAGCAGCACAGTGCCTGCTTGGCAAGTGTGAGGTCATGAGTTCGATTTCCGGTATCACCCAAAAAAAAAAGGTTGCACTGTGGGAAAAGTCTGTCTTTAGTTTAGCTCACTGCATTGTAGTTGTGGTTTCATTTCAACATGGTGCCCCTCCACCCTGCTGTGGCGCTGCTGTACATAACCATGGCAAGAGGACTTCATGGAAGATAAAATAGGTGAAACCCTTGAAGACACAGCCACAGGTAAGTACTGTCTGAACAAATCTCTACTTGTACAAGAAATAACATCAGGAGTCAACAAATGGGATTATATTAAATTTAAATGCTTCTGCACAGCAAAGGAAACAACCAACGGTGTAAAGAGACAACGTACAGAGTAGGAAAACTTCTTGGTAGCTACTCTTTGGACAGAAGACTAATATCTAGAATATGTAAAGAACTCAAGAAAGCCAGAAAGAGCCAATCAGAAATGGGCAGCTGAAATGAATAGACATTTCTCAGAAGAAAGTACGAATGGCTAATAAATACCTGAAAAAATGTTCAACATCTGTGGCTATCGGAGAAAGGCAAATTCAGACAACACAGAGAAATGCAAATTCAGACAACACTGAGATTTCATCTGGCTCCAGAAAGAATGGCTATCATCAAGAATCAAATAATAACAACAGCTGGTGAGGCTATAGAGAAAAAGGAACCCTTCTGCATTGTTGGTGGGAATGTAAACTCATACAACCACTATGGAAATTAGTATGGAGAAATTCCATTTGACCCAGCTATTTGCTTTCTAGGTATCTTCCTGGAAAAGTTAAAGATATCACACTACAGTGATATCTGCACACTCGTGTTTATAGCAGCATAGTTCATGATAGCTAAATCTTAGAAGCAGTCTGTATACCCATCGACAGATGAGTGGATAAAGAAGGTGTGCTCTTTATACACAGTGGAGCACAACTCTGCCATAAGGAAGAAAACGCTAGAATCATTCATAGGAAAATGGATGCATCTTTTTTTTTTTTTTTTTTTTTTTGTCTTTTTTGAAGCAGGGTCTTGCTATGCAGTTGAGGCTGATGTTGAGCTCACTTTGTAGCCCAGGCTAGCCTTGAACTCCCAATGATCCTCTTGCCTCAGCCTCCCAAGTGCTGGGATTACAGGCGTGCACCACCACGCCTGGCTCAGTGGATGCATCCTGAAACAATTTTAAGTGAAATAAATCAGACGCTTAAATATCACTTAACATCTCTTATATGAGAAGCCCAAAGTATAAATAATTTAAAGAGCTAAAGAAAGGATAGACAATAGGAAACAGGGAGGTAGATCATTGGTAAATGGAAAGATCTTGAGATAGAACAAAAAAATTAAGATACTTGTGTTCATGTATTTACTCTTCACAGTGAATGCAATCAGTATGTACTACAAACATGTACTACTAAAAAATAAAGTAGACTTCATGGAAATATCACCATAACAAATGGCTTCAGTGTAGAAGTATTGCAGACCTTTGATTTTTCACCCATATATCGCTCCTGATTTAGACTCAAGCCTGGGGTCTTTGTGCAAATAAGTTTCTGATTTATCTAGATTTAAAAAGTGTATTTTTCTTGAGCATAAAAGAAGAAAACTATAAGAATCTGAAAGAAAATGACTACTCCTTTTAAGTAAAGTGTGTTTTGTGTCTCATTTCTAATTGACAAATGTATAGAATGCTTTTTAGCCATGTAGACTTGCTGATAGTTTCAACAAGACTCCAGTGAGCTTTGGAGTCTTTGTATCTTTTACTGTGCTAGAACTGTGGTGTCTGGATTCCACCCCAGCCACCTCATTTGGCAATTCCTTAAGTTACTTAGTTGCCGCCATTTTAAAATCTGAGCATTGGAAATCCTAGAGCCAACTTGCTGTGCAGTAATGGTCTTGTTCAGAGTTACTGGTAAAAATTCCACCCTTATCCTCTGTGAGACCTGTTAGAATGGAGCAAGTATCTGAGGAAGCACTCATTGAGCTCCTGTGTGGAACCCAGAAGTGTTAAAACTAGCAGACAGTTGAAACTTAGCAATTCTTTTTTATTTGTGAGCGTATGAGCCACGTGCCAATATTAATAGGCCTACCTACTTTGATATAAGCCATCTTGGTAAACCTAAAAGCTTGTGTTTATTGACGCCCACGGGCAGTGCTGCGCCCCAATGGCTGTAAGGAGCTTCTGACCTTACTGCTAAGCACAGTGCTTACAGTGGAGAGGAAACCAAAGTAGCAAGCAGGTCAGTGGCGGCTTGGACAGGAGGATGATATAGAAGTGCCAGAGGGATTTAAAGAGTAAAAAGCCATTGTAGTTCGCATATGCAAAAGAAATTTCCAGTCTCACCTTAGGACAAGAAAAAAGTGATAGAGATTTACCCAAAATTTATTTAAGTGAGTTGTTCCAAAGGCTGAATGTAGTATTCAGACATTTGGACTTCACTTTTCTGTGGAAGTTCTTGTCTGTGAACACCCCAGCATCCAGGCAAGTCAGTGGCTTCAGAAGTTGGGAGTAGGAAAAAGGTCTTAGTCCATCATCTGTGGTATGAAAATACCAAGTGAAAATTCCAGAAATAAACAGCTCATACATTATAATGGAGTGTCATTCTAAGTAGCTTTCCAAAATATTGAGTGGTCCTTCTGCATCCTGTCTGAGACCAGAATCCTCTGTTTGTCCAGCAAATGTGCCCTGTATATGCTGCAGCCTTGGGAGTTCCAGCTTGCTTTTCAGCGGGCATCTTCAAACCTTACCTAATCTGCTCCCTCCCCACAAGCCAGCTCCAAAGGCTCCTAAACCACATGGTCAGGTACAGTCATAGCAATGACCCCGCTTCTCTGGTACCAAATTCTTAGTTATTTTTCTTGTTACTGAGACAAAATATCCAACACCTGCACGTTAAGGGAGGAAAGGTTTATTTCCTCACAGTTTAGAGAGGTTTCAGTCCATAATTGGCTGGCTCCAAGGCAGGGTGACTTGGCAGACAGGCGTCAATAGTTCATGTCAGGCAGAAGATAGCAAAAAAATCCCAAAATGCAAGGCTGACCATAGCTGTTTCTGTCCCTTATCCCCTGAGGGCAGGTAGCACTCACACCCTTAATACTAGTGCCCTTGATCCTAGCATTGCAGCATGAATCAATCCCAGAGTGGCACACTCTAGATTCAGCTGCCCCTGAAAAAACCCACCTATGACTGCATGAGGCTTGCGGGGACATCTAGGCACAAGCTGTAACAGAGCTCATTCCCCATGTTCATCAGGCACCACTTCCTTGGAGTTCACTTGCTCAGGATTTTGTAGGGCCATACTCTACTCTTCTTCCCACTCTCTGTCCCATCGCAGGTCTTCATTCTTTCCCTGTTGTTTCTTGCATCCTGTCCTGGCCGTCTTTGTTTCCTGTCTGATGTGGACCACAGTGCATCTTCTGTCACAGACCGATTCTTTCTCTCTGTCTTGTAGAATGGCTCCTGGCTGTAATCCCGTGCTGGAATTAACTGTCATCATTCCTGTGCACTCATAGATACCGCTGTTACCCTCCTGCTAGAGATGAGTCAGTGAGAGTTGGGAGGCTCATCCGGCTCAGCTTTTTGTCACTCTCTACTGGCTGTCCTCTTTGTTGATGATTCCCGGAACTGTATTTATTTGGTGTGGCTGCTGAGACAAAATACCACAAACAGGGTAGCTTAACCTGACGGAAGTCTATTGTCTCGCAGTTCTAGGGGTTGAAGTCTAAGGTTGGGGCATTGGCAGGACCAGGCTTCCTCTGAAGTCCATAAGAAAAGAATCCTTTCCTAACTGCAGGTAGTTTGCCCACAGCCTTTGGCATTCTGTTGTGTAGAAATGCATCACTCCAGTCCTGCATTTTTACCTAAATGTCTTTTTTCTGTACATATTTATGCCTGTGTCTAAATTCTCCCCTTTATAGGATACCTGTCTTGTTACCCTTATAGAAGTATTAGTCCTCACCCTAATGGGCTTATTTTAACTTGCTTACCTCTGTAAACACCCTGTTTCCAAATAGAGCCACATCCTACAGCACTGGAATTAGGACTTTGACTATTTTTTTTTTGAGACAGTCTCACTATGTAGTGCAGACTGGCCTTGAACTCACAAGGATCCTTCTGCCTCAGCCTCCCAAGCGCTGGGATTACAGGCATGTGCCACCACACGCAGACATATCTTTTTTACAGGGCACAGTTCTGCACCTAACAGTAATTTTGTTCTGTGAATGGTGATGCCTGAGTTTATCAGGTAGTTCAGAATGATTCAACTGGTGCTAACTCATACAGTTCCATTGTGCTTAAAAAATTAAAAAAAAAAAAACATATTGTTGTTCAGCCAGCTAATAGGTTTTGCTTGTAGTTAATTATGGGGAGAGGGCAGAGAGAGGTGGAGAAGGTCTTTCCTTTGTCCTTTGTGGTAGCTCCGTGGATGAGCTGACCCCTCTTAATGGATAATCATGTGGGAGCTACAGCAAGCTCTTCCTCTTTGTGTTTGAGTAAAAGCATTTCTTTGAAGCAGATGGATCCTCCCACCTCTGGAGTCCTTCTGTGGGCCTCACTCTGTGCCCTAAAGAGTGGACTTTCATTTCCTATTGGGTCATAGGTTCAAGAGTTCATGCAGTATGTGGGAGGGGAGGGAGGAAGGTACGGAGGGGAGAAAGGATGGGAAAAGCAGGCCAAAAATAACACTTATTTAAGGAGTTGTTTTGTGTAGAAAAATAGATAATCAAGGCACAAGACCAAAGAAAGTAAAAACCAAAATAAATAAAAGTCACTGTCTGCCTCTGGAGTGCTTGTGTACATGCCCAGGAGGCATTTTAGTGAGCTGTTTGGAAATAAGAGAAGAGCAGGAAAGGCTTAAGAGAAGGAAAATTTTAAGAGAAGGAAAGTCAGAGTTACTAAGAGGAATAGCCTTAGAATTTTGCTGTTTATCTTCTGCATTATTCTCAAGTAGAGACGTGGCCCAGTGCTTTTTCCTGGAAAGTCATGGCATACAACATTTACAGTCTGCAGGGAGGGAGGGATGAGAAGAGCAAAAGAATGATCTTCATTTTGAATTCCAGAGCTAGTTTGGTAGAAGAGCGCTTTCTCTAATGCTGGAGCCACCTGGAAGGAAAGATATGGGCCCTACTTGGAAAAGTATTTTATGCGGGGCTGGGGATATAACTCAGTGGCACAGCGCCTGCCTGGCAAGGGCAAGGTCCTCAGTTCAATACCTGGTACCAAAAAAAAAAAGAAAAGAAAAAAGTATTTTATGTAGAGCATTCCAAAGGTTTTGGTTGTCTTAGAAAAAAGGTTTCACTATTAATCTTTGGCAGAGGTGTGTGGCTTACCACTCTGTCTTAGTTACTTTTCTCTCATTGCTGAGACCAAATACCTGACGCCCTCAATTAAGGAAGGAAAGGTTTGTTTAGCTCACAGTTTGTGGAGGTTTCAGTCCATGATCAGCTGGCTCCAAGGCAGGGTGGCATGGCTAAAGGGCAGCAGTTCATAGTGGCAGAAGACAGCAAAAGCAACAAGAGCTAAAGGGGAGGAGAGAGAGAGCAAGCAGACCTCTTTCCCTCATATTGTATGCTTGCTACTTGCCCTAGGGCACTGGGGTAGCACTCACACCCATAATCCCAGCTTTGGACCATGAATCAATCACAAACCCCAGAAGCCCACACCCATGACTGCATGAGGCTTTGGGGGAACATCCAGACACAAACCAAAGCGCACTCATTGACTTATGTCCAGGATGTATATGATGCCACTAGGTGATTATATAGTCAGACGATGCAGCAGTGCCTGCTCAGCCACCTCTCGTGAGGATCTAAGGGGATGGATGTGCTGGGCACAGTGGCAGTGGGAGTAAGGTGCCCTATTGCTATAATTGGGTTTTGCGGGACTTCCCCGTGCACAGCTCTTTGATAAACTGGGCTAGCTGACCTTGAAGGCAGGTCCCCCTGTGGGTTGTACCTGGTCAGTGCCTACCAGACTTGCCACAGCAGGTGGAAAGGAGGGGAGTGACGGGTGGGATGAGACTCCTTACCTGTTATTATTAGAGCTGCCTCTCAAAAAGGACAGTTAGGTGAAAAGAAGTGGGGTGGAATTATCTTTAATAAGGAAAGATATGTTCATTTAGGGACTGAAAACTAAATACAATACTATGACGCCAAGCAAATGTGTCTCAGGCTAACCTGTGGTGCAGGCAATTCAGGGAGGTCAGGATGGAGCGCTCAGAAAACGTGAGTCAGCCTTTAGAAGCTGAAGAATGGGGAGGCAAGATGTGGAGGGCTCTCGAAGGGGCAGGAAAGAACAGCAACAGTGAGCCTTGGGTTTTGGCTCAGAGAGGAAAGACTGCAGGAATGTGTGTTTATTTTGGAGAAGTGAAGGGTGGCAGGGGCTGGGGTGGGGGACAGTTTCGGGGAATATGGAGGTACGTTAGAAGAGTTGTGGTGAACAGATGTTTTCAGTATTCACTAGGGACAAGATTAAACAATGAATGAACCTACCTTTTAGTCCAAAGGGGTTGAATGAGAATTTAGGGAAACCATCACAAGGGGGGATATTTTAATAAAGGAATACATAGCATTTGCTTTTGAATAGTTTAGGGAAAACTCAAAAATACACCTTAGCGTAAGGCTAATGTGGATCACTTTCTCTAATTTGACTTTGCTTGCTAGGCTGCAGACTCTGAAGACACCACCTTCCTTTTTTCCTTTTTTGTGTGATAACATGATCTTGGAAATGTACTAGCAGGAAACCAAGTTTAAGCCCTGCTCTTTAGTTTTTGATGAAATGATGTTCTTAGGCAGTGATGAGGCGCACAGACTAAGTGCATGGGTATTGGTGCCGAGGAGACCTAGTTTCAAATCTTGGCTTCTACCTACTGTGTGTTTTGGGACAAGTTCCTTAACCTCTCTGAATCTAGTTGCTCATTTAAATAGTAATATTTAGCTCATAGTTGTTGTAAGTGTTCAGTAAGACAAGGCATGGAAAAGCAAGTGCTTGGCACACATTTGGAAGTCAGTCAATGCTGGCCATTGTTACTGCTGTGTTGTAGACGTTCAAATCGGCGTTGGGAGCTCAGATACAGCTATGTCTTCTCTCTTTTCAGCCTTCACATGTGACCTCTGCTTTTCTTCCTTTATTACAGCTGCTGGCCTTCCTGCAAGGACTCTTCACCTTTTATCACCATGGTTATGAACTGGCCAAGGATTTTGGTGACTTCAAGACACAGCTGACCATTAGCATACAGAATGTGAGTAGGTGTAGGAACAGGCTTCTATTCTCTGGTTGAGGGAAGGAAAAAGCGAAGTCTGGGTCTATTTGCCAGCAACCCCACTTGTATGGACTGGAATTATGCGTGGAGGCTGGGTCTTGCTCAGGTTCAGAGGACAGCTGGGGAATGGGCATCTCAGGAGCATTTTGTGGGTCAGAGCATCATGCGGGTCAGACTGTCATCTCCGTTATTTCAGAGCACTGCTTATGTTCTCAGAAGTGCTGCTGCTGATTATGTTCTAAGTTTGTCCACTAGTCAGGATTTCTTTTGGCTGTGGGCGTCTTGCCATTGCCCAGCCTCCCTTCAGTGCATCTGGGTGTGTTGTTCAGTGCTTAACAGGGCTGCAGTCACCTGCAGTGTATGATGGGCCATATTGGCCCTCATGTGTCTCTAGTACTCTTGTATGGAAATAGCCAGATGTTTCTATGTGGGTTGTATTGCATGGCCTGTAGAAGTCTAAAGGGTGGATGGTTCTCTGCCATCTGGGAGAAGGGGAAGCTTCAGTCTCAGAAGTGGTTCTGCAATAGCATAACTGTTTCCTTAGGCTGGCTTCTTTCAAAAGCCATCTCTGAAATGGAGATTTGCATGCAGTATCTTTATTTAGTGAGCATATGTGTGGTGGGGTGATGCCAGCAAAGACTTCTTTGAAAGAATGAGCATGGAGCATGGTCGGGGGCTGAGCTGTGGCACAGGTGCCTCAGTCAGTGCTGGGAGAACGTGGGGCTGCTCAGGCCTTCAGAAGGGGCACAGGCCACCCTGGTAAGGGGGTGACTTTGAGTATAGCAGCTCCCCTTTGCAGAGGGGCCCATCTGTGAGCTGTCAGTGAGCACCATTCCCTGAAGCTGGAGAAGTAAGAACCTTAGTCCTGAAGGCATAAAGGCCCTTGGACCACTTGAGTCAGAATCACCTGGGATGCTTATTTGACATGCACGCCTCTGAACCCAAAGGTTCTAAATTAATCTCTAGGAGCAGAGCCTGGGCATTGGCATTGCCTGTATGTTCTATAGGTGATTTTGATGATTACTAGAATTTGAGAGTCATTCAGGTTTAGGTCTCTAAGACCATAGTGTACTTGTTTAAAGTGAATATTGGCCCAGTTCCTAGAGGGTGGAATGTTTCTGATCTGGTTTTACATCTAAGGATTTTATTAGGTTAGATGGAGATTTCTTTTCTTTGCCTTGAGTAAAACTCTTTTCATCCTAGACAAGAAACCGCTTTGAAGGCACTAGGTCAGAAGTGGAGTCCCTGATGAAGAAGATGAAGGAGAACCCTCTGGAGCACAAGACCATCAGCCCGTATACCATGGAAGGGTACCTCTATGTTCAGGAGAAACGTAAGTGCTTTGTGCCGCAGCAGCTGGGACATGCTCAGACCCTCAGACCCTCTGTCTGGAAGGTGGAGAGTGTCCTTAGTAGTGCGTGGCCTTCTGCGCATCCCTGCTTGTGTGAGTACGAGTCATTTATAGTGTAGTTTTGAATGGAAAAGATGATCTCCTTCGAGTCTTGTTGCCTCTAAGTGACATATTCTGTTTTCTTTTTCATATTCTTGTGGCTGGGAATTCCCCTGGGAATCTGGGATTGCCTGATGCAGGTGGTTGCTCTTCACTCCCTGGCATCACTGTACTCTTGAGCATTCTCTGTCCTTAGTGTATGGAGCTGCTGCCCTGATCATAGCAGCATTGGATAATCATGCACACTGGATCTTCCTGTCTATCAGCAGTCATACTCTTGGGTAGACTTACTATTTGGTGATGCTTTTTTTTAGCTGAGAACAGTCATGACTTAGGCCCTTTTCCTTTGCTTCTTTACTCTTCATCCCAGTATTTAAATTTATGAAAAGTAGAAGCCAAAAGTCACCTAAGCATCTGCAAAAAGACCCATTGCCCTGGTGATAATGATGTCTAAGAAAGAAATGGCAGGTGCTGCTCAGGTGAAGGTGAAGGGTTTAGTGGTGACTCACACATTCATGGCTTAGGGCTACAGAAGAGCTTTGTGATGGAGCTGCGCTGTTGAGGGCAGCACTTTCAGGTTTTAGTCATGCATGCGGTGTCAGAAATTGAGTGTTTTTTAATGAGTAGTTCTTAGAGCCTCCTGCCATGCTTTTTAGCAGGAAACATCATTCCTTCTCCTCCAGGTTTGCGCTCATTTTGCATTCTTTGGGGGTCCTCTTCTTAAGCAGATATCTTTGCTACCAAAAGTGTCCTGATGGAATAGAATAGAAACTTGGTTTTGGTGATTATTCTACTTAGCTATCGCCCATAAAGCTAATTGGGCTTAACGTTGTTCCCTGGTGATAATAGGGCCTAGTTGGTTTGGCTATATTTTATATTCCTTATTCTTATAGCAATGAGCTCGTGGAGCTTTATAAGAAGTAAAAACCATGTTCCGAATATAAAGTGATCCACTTTTTGCCCCATGAGAACCTGCCACCAAAAGGTTTGAGATGAACCTGAAAGTACAAATCTTAAGGACCAAAAAGTGTACCTTGATGTTCACTGTAGCATTTAGTTATTAATATTATTCACTTACATGTATAAAATCAGTGTTGTTTTTTTGAGCTCTTGTAGCACATTATTCAGTTTTGTTCAAATACGCCCTTTTAACATCAGTTGATTATCACTCTAACCACTTTTTGGTTCTCTAACACAGCAGTCCAGAACATTCATTGGGATACAGGTTTTTTTTTTTTGTCTTAGCATTTTTTGTAACTTATTATTTTGAAAAAGTGTCGAATTTACAGAAAAGCTGAAAAGTTCAAGTTTCTTCCACTGGAAGAATGGAGTAAAGGCCAACTGTATGACTGCACTCAGATTCACCAGTGTTTGGCGTTTGGTCACAATTATATACATACTTTTTCTGTATAGGTGTATATATTCACGGTACCTTCTCACACATCCTTTTTTTCTGAATGTTCAACAACAGGTTGCATATACCATGCTCTTTATTTCAGTGAATATTTTTCAAGAATAAGGGTATTCTTTTAAGTAATCACACTCAGAACATTTAATATTGTTTTAGTATTTAAACTATAGTTTGTACTTCAGTTTTCTTGATTGTCCCAGTAATGCTCCTATAAACCATTTCATTTTCCTCTAATACAGACTCACTCTGCATTTAGTTGTTATCACCTTCATCTGGAGAACAGTTTCTCAGCCTTTATCTTTCTTGACACTGACATTTTGAAGAACATGGTCCAGTTCCCTTATAGAAGTTGCCTCAGCATCAGTTTGTCTGATGTTTTCTCCTGATTAGATTTGGGTTATGCATCTCTGGTTCAGTCCTACATAAGTAGCTTTCCCTTCTTCTCTGGGCCACATCCTGAGGCGTATGGTGCCCATCTGTTTTTTGAGGGTGGTATTCATTTTGATCACCCATGCAAGGTATTTTTCTTGTTTCTCCACTGTACAGTCACTGATTTCAGTTTGTAACTCACTAGGCATACGTGAGCGGCAATTTAAGATCAAATACCCTGCTTGTCATGCTTTGCCCTCCACAGATTTAGTGTTCATTGATGATCCTGGCCTAAATTGATCTTTGCTATGATGGTTGCAAACTGGTTTTCTGGTCCCACCACTCCCAGCACATTCATAGTTGCCTTTCATTGTAATGTAAAGAAGTGCCCTGCCACCTCTTATGCCTTCCCTTCTGTCCTGTCTGACTATCTGTCTATACTTCTTTCTTTCCCTTGTCAGTATGAACTTACAGATTCATATTTTGTCTTGATGCACATAGTGTCCAAGATGAAGCACTTTTGGAATCTTTGTGAACTTTCCCCCCAGACTACAAGAATATGCTTTAATAGTTGCTCTTTTCTTTTGTCCGTGATGTCCCAATATACACCCTTAGTATTGCTTTCTGAGTTTATTAAATACTTGTGATTTTCATCATGCCATATATGGTGGATTAACTAATAGTCAACCTGTAACACCCAACTGAACTGAATCAGTGTGGTTCTGGGTGTGGAAGGCTCACCTGAGGATTGTTGCAAATAGCATAGAAAGAGAACTAGAGGGAAAGATGGTGTGCTGTTGATTCTCCTGGAGAAGCTTATTGCAGTGGCTTTCCTGATATTAACTCAGCTGTTCTCATTGCTGAAAGAGTTCAAGTCCTCACTGTCACTGAGGATGGCTGCAATTCTCTTTGGGAGAGCTCTGATCCTTACCTTGAGAATCACTTCCTGGCTCCAGGGCAGATGTCTCAGTCTGCTGGCACAGGTCCTTCACCCCACTGGCTCAGACTTTCTAGCTTCCACCACTGGCGTTTGGGCCTTGCCAGTGTAGATCCTTGATAAAGACTCTCATGAGACATTGTCTTGGGCTCTAGGCTTCCAGCTTGACTTGTGGAGGACATTGTTGTGGGCTCTAGGTCTTCAGCTGAACTCATGTAGGACATTGCCATGTGATCCAGGCCTTCAGCTGGATTGTTTGGGTCTCCAGTACATCAGATTTTTTGCATGCTTCTGTATTTGACTCTTTAGGTGAATATTATAAAATAATCCTACAAATTATGTGTCCTATATTAAATCTATGCCCCTGAAAGCCCTGACTACAACACCATATCATTAATAATTATTAAATATCTGTTGACTATGTTTTAAAACAGTTTAACCATTTCTATTGTGTGGGCTTTATAAATATCTAAAATTAGTATTGACTGATGTCCTTGCAGGCTCTTAATGCTTTCTTTCTAATCGTACTTTGCTGTTCAAAATAAAGGAGCTGGCCAAACACTGAGTAAAATCAGAGATTTTGTTAGAGCTTGACTTAATGGTGTCTCCCTAATTCCTGAGGTATAGTTTTGAGAGAGACTTTTAGACTGCCTTTGGGCATTTATAGTCACTTCCATTCTGCATCTCTGGTGTCTTCTATTCAGATACTTTTTGACTTCTGCTTAAGTAAAAATTAGGGATTTGGAAGTAGATCAGAACCCCAGATGTCAGAGTCTCCAAGCAGCTGTGTGGGAAGCATGAGGTCATTGCCTCAGATGAGAATGGTGGTAGGCACTTAGCCTTTCTGCGTTCTTGCCTTAGCTGTCTTATTCCTGTCAGTAAAGAACGGAAACTTCAGATGGGGATTGATGATGGGAATATGAAACAGCTTCCCCAGGGAACTTCTACTTCCCTTATATTTTAAGACCCACTAGATATAGCATTGGTGGGAATAGTGTTCATGGGTCTCTGGGGGAAAGCCTTGAGTTGGTTCCATTTTCAGCCTGTGGGATCAGATTTCTGTCTGTTTCAGTCTAGCTGGTGTGGAGAATACATGGCCGCTAAGACAGCGTGTGGGTGGATGAGTATTATGAGCTCTGTGTTTCTGAAGTTACTTATGTGCAGCTTACAGTGGACATGTGTACCTAGATGCTTAATGGGAAATATTACCTTGCAGGTCACTTTGGAACTTCTTGGGTGAAGCACTACTGTACGTATCAGCGAGATTCCAAACAAATCACCATGGTACCCTTTGACCAAAAGTCTGGAGGAAAGGGGGTAAGTTCACTTTTTAAATTTCATGCTTGATTTGCGTGACTAACAGACAATGGTAATAATACATATACACAGTAATACTGCCGATGTTTCATTGTAATTCTCTTAATTTTAAATAGTAGTTCCAGGAGTTGTCCATTCAAGATGTCTAAAATAAGCTAATTATCCTTAGCTTTAAGATACAGTAGGAACTACAATTTGGGAAGATTATTATATTGAACAAGTGTGTCAGATGTTTGTCGATGCTAAAAAGTCTTGGATGACCTCATTCTGTGAAACTGATTCATGTCACTGTCACTCAGTCCCTGGAGAGCTGCCAGTTGGCAGTTTAGATGTTCCAGTTCTCTACTGCTGTGTAACGAGTTGACCCCAAACTTAGCTATTTTTAAAAGTACATGCTACAGTCATTTTAGTATTTCCCAGTTTTTGTGGGTCAGAAGTTGGGAAACATTTGAATGGATGGCATAACCTTAGGGTTTCTCATGAGTTCCAGTCAGATGATAAAGCAAGAACATCACACGTCTGCAGCAATTCAAGCCTGGCCAGATACTGCTCTTTCCCTTTCCCAGTCTCCTCCTCTCTCTCTTCCTTACCTCTTTCCCTGTGTCTCGGTATGGTCTCGGCCTGTCCATCTGGCCTCTGGTTGGGCTAGTTTGGGCTTGTTTACAACATGCAGAATGGCTTTTGGTACTCATGGGTTTAGTAGTGAATGTTCTAGCACTAAAAGCTGGCATTGTTTTTTTTTTAATAACCTAACCTCAGAAGTTGTTAGCCTTACTTTTGCCCTGTTTGTTGGTTGAAATGGTCACAAAAGCCCACCCACTTCCACTGGGACAGAACATAAACCTTGTGTCCCCGTGGGGGGAATATCAGTGTCTTCTTGTGAAGAGCAGGTGGGATGGAAGATTTCTGTGGCCATCTTTGGAAGACACAGGCCATGTCAGGCTCCCTGGTCTCCCTGTGGTAAGGCAGCTCCTTCAATTCTCCACAGTTCTTTTCTTGCACAGAGCTACTGCCTCATGTCCTGCTAGGCAATCTCTACTCTCATAGCAGCCAAGTATATTTCCTGTGGAAGTGATCATCTTTTCTTTCTGTCTGCTTTACTACCTTCTTTTCTTTCCTTAGTAGTCCACATTTCAGTAGGATTTTCCTAAGCTTAAAATTTTTAAATGTATTGCCTAGAAATTTTTTGTGTTTTGGCTGGGGTTTCGTCTCTTTCAGTCACTCTGGAAAATTCTCCCATTTATTACTTTGAAGTTTACCTCTTGCCTCTCTCATTATTACCTCCACCTGTGGATGTTTACATTTTTTTTTTTTTTCATGAGGATATTTATATTATTCTATTTTCTTAAGTGGTTCTGGTGATTGAACCTAGGACCTCGTGCATGCCAGGCAAACACTCAGTCATTGAGCCACACCTCTGGGCCTATACTTTTCATATCTTAGGATCTCTGGACTACATTTTGAATAATCTGGTTCTGTCTTTAAATAATTTTTCAGTTTTATCTACCTGTTGATGAATTGGTACCCTATAAACACTCCATCTCTGGTCCTCTCTGTAATGCTTTTTTGTACAACATGTTGGGTTTGTGTGTGTGAGGTGTTATAGTGTCAAGGTAGAGAGTGCGGGCTTTGATGCCAGGCCCTCCCGGAGTAAGGATGTTGGTTGCTTTTATGGTCACTGTCACTAGCTGGCCGTGGTGCACCCTTGCTCTCTTCCAGTTCCAGTTTTTCTTCCGGGCTTCCTTTTTATTTCAGCCACAGTAGAGAAGATTATCAGCGTCTCTGTTCCTTCACCGTGTCCAAGCAATGACAAAGCCTGTGTGTGTTCCTTGGCAGGAGTGGGTTAACGTATAAATAACCTCAGGGAAACAGACATGTTAAAATAGTATAACAGCGAAACTACAGATTTAGAAGGAATATTATAAATCTGTGTTTTTAGGAATCCCTGGTTTTCATGAAATGGACATAAACACAGGCCTGTTTTCTTTGGACGGAGTCAAGTCCTCTTCCAACTCTTAGTCTTTCTAGAAATCAGCTTCACTGAATTATTCTCTCCTATAGGCTATTTTGGGACTTTTTTTCACTTTCCCAAATTGCTAATGAAAAAATCTCTTGTATTTACTTTTGCTTTATCTTACTTGAAAGTAAAGAGCAGAAACCATTATGGTGGTGTTTGGGACTCCTAAGACTTCAGAGAGATTCTAGTGAACACCTCATTGAGTTGTAAGAGGGTTTTTTTTGTTGTTGTTTTGTCTTTTTTGAGACAGGGTCTCGCTATGCAGCTCAGGCTAGCCTTGAGCTCACTTTGTAGCCCAGGCTGGTCTGGAACTCACAACGATCCTGCTGCCTCAGCCTCCCAAGTGCTGGGATTACACGAATGTGCCACCATGCCCGGCTGTAAGAGATTTTTATGTGTTAGTACAGAACAACTTTTTTGGAGAGACCCTGGCACTAACAGATGCTATCTTAGGATTGTGATGCTATAATTCATGTTCCTGAGAGTAATTCCCTATAATTATATTACCTTTTATAATTTTCTACCTCTTAACCCTATATTAGCCTATTTGACCAGTTTTTTTCCCTTTAGAAAGCTGGAATCTGAGGTCAGAGTGATCAGCTGATGAGTGGCCCAACAGGACTGAGCCTGGCATTATGGTGTCGGACTCTCCTCCTGAAATCATGTGTTCTTTACCATGTCACTGTTTTCTGTGGTTTCGGGTAGTGGATCTAGAAGGACTGGCTCTCTGGAAGTAATGTGCTCTAGGTTCATGTGGGGCGTTGTGTGCGGTCTTTGCATACATGTGGGTACAAAGCGCTCAAGGAGCTGGAGGTAGATGACGTAGAGTTGGGTGGTTTTTGTTTTTGTTTTGTCTGACATGGTTTGACTCCACCCTTTTTGCCCACTAACTGTCCCTTTGGTTTTGGATATTTTTTGCTTTCGAAGTCCCCACTGTTCTGCCAGCCTCAGGCCTGGAACTGTGAGCAGACTTGCTCCATTTGTGTGTAGTGAAAGAACGTCCCTCATGCCGCTGTCTGAGAGGGGCACCCTCAGCAGGTCTGGGGCAGCCCAAGGCTGATCCTGTCCCTTCACGTGCTTGAAACCCTCTGTTATTTTTCTGCTGCTCTCAGGATACAGACAAGAACCCTCTATCATCTGGCCCCTACCCTCCCTCAACCCTTCCTCATTTCAGTTTTCCTGTCAGTCTGGGCTTCCAGTCACACCAGCTTCCTTCCATTCCTCTAACACTCCCTGGATCCTGACCACAGGGCCTTTCTGCCTGCTGCTTTTCTACCTTGCTCCTTTTCTCCTGGTTCTGTCTCCTGGGACCTCTCCAGTCCCGGCTCAAGAAAGTCTTCTCTAGCCTTCCTGATTATTCTTCTTTTTATTTTTTTCAGATTTTTAAGCACAGTCTGGTTTTTTGCGTGTTTATCATGGATGTAACTTTTTACTTAAGTGGTAGTTAAGAGCTACCACTTTTTAAAATCCCAGCTAGTTAAACAGATCATCTTTGTAGATTTTTCCTCATGCGGCACAATTGTTCCTTGGAACAAAATCTTACCTTATCTGCTCTTCTTTCTGCTTTTGGTTGATGATCCTTTATAGATCCCTCTTCCCTGGCATTTCTCCATGACACCTCATCTAAACTTTGAAAGTGGAGGCTGGCTCATAGCTATTAAATCTGAAATATACTTAGACATTAATGAGGTCAGACCGCTAATGTTTGGAGGCTTATTCTTGTCACAGGTCAAAATAAGGACAGTTTAGTTTAAAGATCTTAATTAGCTTGATTTTTTATTCTAGAACTGGACAGCATTTTGTTTCATAAAGCAGAATTGACTTTCTGATGAGCTAAGCAGAAGAGGTCGGTTTTAAGACAGAGAAAGGCCGGGGCTGGGGATTTAGCTCAGTGGCAAAGCGCCTGCCTGGCAAGTGCAAGGTCGTGAGTTCGGTTCCCGGTACCGGAGAAAAACCAAAATAAATAAATAAATAAATAAATAAATAAATAAATAAGACAGAGAAAGGCCAATGAAAGCAGAAACAGAGAACACAAAAGTGGATTGGTCATTTTAAAGTTACTTTCCTTGGAAAGAAAGGACAGGGAGGCAGAAGGAGAGAAAAATAACTGATTGGTCAACATGAAGTTAGTTCAAGTTAACTTTCTGTGTAAGAATTAAGGCAGAGGGAGCTGTATTATGATGCCAGTTGGAATGAGCTGTTTGGGAAATTTGGCTGTTGTCTCATTTCTCTTGGTTTCTTGGGAGGGTAGACAAATAGCTTAGTTTCAGTTTAGTGACAAGGAACGTTAGCATGGGTGATTCCTTATTGACTTTTAGTCTGGTCTCTTGAGGCCTAGTGTGGGAGCCTAATCCAAACAATGGCCTGTGCATTTTGTTTAACCTACTCCTGTATTTTACAAAGTAGAAAAAGAACAGTTCTCAATCTGAGAAATTAATCTTTGCTATTCAGTAAAAGACAATAGATGTCAGGTGTAAAAATAAACTGTCTCTTCTGAGGTCTTCTGTGGTTTTTGTGCCTTTCTGAGGTCAGGGAGTGATCAAGTTTATCCCATATAGTCACACTTCCTATTATTTCAACGGATTGGGCAAGTTCGTTAATCCCTCACCCCACCCCACCCCACCCCACCCCACCCCACCCTACCCTCCTTTAGAAAAAAATACTTGCAGAGGCAGGAGAAGCAGAAACCCTAGCAGATTTGTAAGTGACAGAAAAAGAAGAACTCAGGGACTGGAACTTCGGTGCTTCTAGGCAATACATCAGTGCTAGGAGATACAGTTGTTACATTCCAGTCACATAGTGGACTAGTACTCAGCTGGGAAAAGAAGCAAACTCTCAATGTGCACAACATGAATGAACAGTTAAGCTGAATGAAAAGGAACCAGACAAAAAAGAGTACATACTATGTGGTTCCACTTATGAAAAATCACAGAAGTGGAAATCAATCTATAATGAAAGAAATAGGGTTGAGGGCTGCCTGAGGATGGAATGGGGGCAGGTCTGGATTTCCAAAGGACATGAAGATGTCTGAACACATCCTGGGCATCTTTAACCTGGGCTAGGAAGGTGCTCTTGAGGTGATGACTGGCCCAAGGTTATAGAAGCTCAGTCTTAGGAGTCCAACTTTTTCAACTCCTAACAAATCTACAAATTTAACCTAGTTAACACAGTATCAACAGGAGCTCTTTGCAACTGCTATAAACTGATGCTGTACCATCATGATCCACGAGTACTAAAGATGTTTGGTTCTAAATACAACAGGATTTCCAAATTTTAGCCATAGGAGGCCCTTACCTGAGAAAGTTTATGTTCAACTTTTCATCTCCCCTGATCATGAGCTTTAGAGAAGGTGACGTGATCTCTTGTTCATGTGCTGTGTTTGTTCCAGGAGGAACAGACCTCACATTCTGGCCTCACTTCAGTAGTCTGTGTCTTCCCACTAGGGCGAAGATGAATCAGTCACCCTCAAATCCTGCACACGGCGGAAAACAGACTCCATTGAGAAGAGGTTTTGCTTTGATGTAGAAGCAGTAGACAGGTAAGTGTTGGTTACACTTTCTCTAGAAACAGATATTACTGCATTTGGATTTCTTCTTTTTTCCTTTTAGTCAAAACTTTTTTACTTTTTTCTTCTCTCTCCCCGCTCTGTCCCCGACTGTGTCCATTTTGGGTTAGATCTTAGGCTTTGGCTGATTTGCAAGGATCAATATAACCTCTGCGTCTTTCAAATTCAGCACAGACTCACAGGATTTGTTTGCTTTTTTATTTTAATGTTAGCACTTCCATGCTCAGGAATGTGTATGTGTGGTAGATACTCAAAGATAACTGCCTGTTTACCTTGATTGTATCAGTTGAGGTTCTTTTCCTTAAATGAATACAAAGATTCCAAAAATGGACAGTAGATGTTTTAGTTAAATTTAAAAAAGCTTTTAATTACAATATTGTACCTACCACTGTATGTGTATGCACACCCAGGAAAGATACCAAACCACTTGCGAAATCAGTCTTTGGAGAGAGAGCTGTGTGTTGTATTCCTCGGGATTTATAGCGTCTCTCATTAAGTCCTACCATTTCATGGTGTTAAGCTAGTTTGACAGGATTCCAATTCTTTGAGACACTTTACTTGGCAACAGTTTAATTCTTTCAATGAAACTCACGTGTTAAGCTTATTTGAGCTGCCTGTTCAAGATCAGCAACGCTAGTACCAAGATCCTTAAATCTCAGCATGAGACTCATATAATACCATGTAATCTCTTTCTTTTATTTAAGAAAAGCCACACCATTTTGTCAAGCCAGTGCTGATATCCTGCCTGGGAAATTCACGAGTAGCCATCATCAGTGAGCTCTAAGGGGCCAAGACTGAGTGCCCGCCGGTGTGGGCAGGGCTTCTTGCTGACAGGGTGGGAATGCCTTCTTGTGGCAGCGGTCTCCTCTGTGCCATGCCTGCTGGAAGATGCATGTCTAAATCAGAAATTCATGGAAAGCAACCATGTCTCCTAAGCAATTTAGTTACTTACCTTGGGCTCTCAAACCTGACAACTTGGGTCCAAATTTTGACTTTGCTGCTTAGTAGCCCTGTGACTTTGGACAAGTTACTTAATCTCATCTGGTCTTGATGTTCTCATCTGGGAAGTGAATATTGTTATAGTTCCTGGTTCGTAGGATTGTTACAAGGATTCAAGGAGGTAATGCATGTAAAATGCTGAGCAGCATGGCAGATAATAAGTGCTCAACAAATATTAGCTGTTGCTATTTGTTGTCATTTGGCTTGTCCTCCATGTTCATCAGACTTGTACTTCCTTTCTCTTTTAAACATGGAGGAATATAATTTATAAGTAAAGGAAAATGCTCCTGCCCTGCACTGTGTGAGACTGTCAGAGGGAAGGTAAAGGAGAAGGATATGGAGCATGGGTGGAATTGGGATAGCAAAGGGGAATTGCAAAGAGCCTTCCTTATATCAAATTGGTTTTTATTTTAAGTAATCTGAAATCTGGATGCTTTATGTAGGTGTAGGCATCTTTTTTTGTATATCTTGATCATGGAATTAAGGGAATCCATGTTGTTGGCATCTGTGAAGATGTTCAGAAAGTATGTTTTTGTGGAAGGGGAGCTGATTTTGATGGCCATGACATGTAGTTCCTAAAGACGAGTGTGTGTTTGTGCAGCTGTGTGGAAGAGGGCAGCCTTCTGCTGCAGCTTTCCATCAGATTGAGAACAAGCGCAGAGATGCTTTGGGAGCTGAGTTATTTTCCATGTTTATGTCTTCGGAAGTACCCTGAGAAGTTGTGGGGAATTGCTTCGAGGCAGTTAGAATTCCCTGTTGTATATTAATCTCATTTCTACCTTTGCCAATACAGTATTTCCAGTACCTTCCCTCCTTTATCATGCCCCAAAGCCTTGGCAGGCCCCAATTTTAAGCTGAGAGAAAATATGTCACATTTGAGACACTGAGTGCGCTTAAGAAGTGGATTTTTCTGCAGTGCCTGTCTCTGGTCTGTAACAGCTCAGAACCAGGCTGCTGAATCTCCCCTGCAGGAGGAGGAAAGTCGGCAATTCTATGAAATGACTTATCTCAGTTTTATATAGGTCTCAGAGATAAGGTTACCCTTTGGCAGGATTCCCCTCCCCCTTTTTGCTCCAATGTCCCTCTGTATTTTCCTCACATACCTAGGAGAGGATGAGGACAAAACATTTTCATGTGCTGAGCAACTGCAAGGGCAGCCTGGGATTCTTTCTCCTACCGACGCATGGCTTTTCCTTTACCGTTTGCACTCTTTAGCGAGGAGGCCAGTGTTCTGACCCTGCTGTCTTTGGCCACAGCATCCTCAGCTCCACCTGCTGCCCACAGCTTCAGGGGTCATGGTGCAGCTTAGCATCTAGGAAGTGTGGAGGCAAAAGAGGAATGGTTACAGTTAACAGTGCAAACATTCGAAATGTTGCCTGAGTATGCTAATGATAGAGTATAGAAACATTTATATACTGGCTGTTGATGTGGTGTTATGTCAAGATACACATACATATCGAAGTGTGATTTGTGTGACTTTGAAAATGAGAGGTTGTGGGATCTTAGTGCTGGTATTTCAGAAGCTGTAGCCTTTAGGAAGTGATGTTCCAGGAGATTAATGGGTTGGGTTGGTTTGATCAAGGTCTCTTATTGTGTGGTAGGACTCACTTGCATTCTGCATTCACTGGGGTGCTGGCTAGAACTACAGATTCTAATGCCTACCCCGGACCCACACAGTCCAACGTTTTGAGGCTGATACCCTAAAATTCATATTTTCAAGCTCTTTAGTATTCATTATTCTAATGATTAGTGCATTATACCACCAGTATTTCACAGTACAGTTTCATCAGCACAGAAAATCATTTTTCTCACTAGAGACATTGTAACAGGCAACCACACTAAGACAAAACAAAGCAAAACAAACAAGCAAATAGATGTAAAAGCTCAGGCTCCTTTACCATGAGCTTGGTACTTACCCATACAGAGGGGAACAGTGTAGCTAGTAGAAAAGATCATGTCCAGTCTCTGACACAGATGACTTCACCAGGAAGTCAAACATGATTATCACCACGATAAAACCCTACCTTTTCGGTTAAAAAGTGCTCATAATGAAGGAAGAGGGAGACAGCTTCATGCTTTCTATAAGCTAGACACTGTTCAGAAATTATTTCATGTAGTCTTCATTATAACCTAGGAAGCAGGCATCCCCTTATTTCCACTCCACTGCTGAGGAGTCTGCAGTTCAGAAGGGCAAAGTTCTGTTCTCCAGGCTAAGTTGGGATTTGAACTGGAGGGTGTAGCAGCTTGTTCCAGGGTACACTACAGCCATAAAACTCAGAACGTTTTAGAAATGTTCCCGGGGTGCTATTGGTGGGTGTATTTCAGGGATGCTATGGCGTGTTCACTGCACAGGCATTGGAACTTGAGAAGTGCTGTTCTCACTCTAATCATTTGCATTTGGCATCATAAACTAATGATGCAATAAACTAATCTTGCTTTTGTCTACTTGGGTACTACTTTGTTACCTTTAGAAAGTTCTCACATGACCAAAGCAAGATGTTATGCAGATAGATCCTGGAACTAGGCATGTAGTAGTTGTTCCATGCATAATATTTCTTTTTTTTCTCCCCATACACCTCTTCTTTCACCTTTTATTTTTAAGGTGATGTTCATTTTTAAAAACTTTTTATCCAGAGAGACTATCATGAGTAGGAGAAATCAAACTTATTAGCAACCTTTTTCACCTTTTGAGGGGCACCAGTAATCAGGGACCCCTGTAGTGAGTCCCCAGTCTCCTACCAAGTGTTACAGAGCACAGGGGGAAGAAAGAGTAAGAGACACAACGGGTGCAGACAGGGATCTGGGATGATGGGTTGTTCTCGGGAACAAAAGACCACAAGGCACATAGAACCCTGGTATTTATTCATTATGTCTGAGTCAAGGATAGGGGTGAAGGGCAGTGGGTGATTCCAGGAACAGTGATGGCGACTATGGCAGGCTAGGAAGAAGGACAAAGCATTCTTGCAAGGACAAGGATGAGACAGGGGCCAATGAGGAAAGTATAGTTTCCCCACGTACCTTATTTACCTTACTGTCTCCAGCAGTTCTATCTTGTCCTGTGAGCGCCACTGCAGTCATTAGCCCTAGGGCTTCCAGCTGTGGCCAGAAACGAGCAGGGTATCTCCTCGTTTCAGTCTGGCTCAAGGGCAGGAGAAGAACGAGCTTTGGACATCCCTTAAACTCAATTTATAACTCATGGTCCCCAACATCAAATCATTCTTGCTGTTTTATCAGTTGACTGTTTTAAGCATATCCCAGTGTACTGCTGTCAATTTGTTAATCCTAAAATCATAGTGAAAAGGGGTCAAACCCTGACGTGTGGATCCTTCCAGAATCCTATTGTGACTCTTTGCCCCATGAATTAGCTGGAAAGCAAATTATGTGTTAATCTAGGGCTTTGGGATTTAGAGCTGAGGTCTTGAACTCGGTGCATTAAGGTTCCTTTTTAAGACTGAATACATTTAAAGAAATCTTCTGATTCTCCTCCCTAAGTTCTTTTAGCTTTGATATTTCAAAACTAGGTCCATACTCTTTCCCATGGGTTCTACACCCATCTTACTGGTGTCTGCATAATTTCTGAGGCTACATCTCAGTTAGTACCTTTTCCCTAGTGCCTTCCTCTTTTCACAACTAGTTTGGGGCGAAGTTCAGACCTGAACAACTCAAGGTCTGTGGCTTATTCTGAGCAAATATTTCACAGGCTAATATTAGCTCTTTATGGCTTTCATTTTCTTTCAGAAGAGTTTTATTGTCCACAACATTGAACAAAGTTAAGAGAATATTTTTTTAAATTTCTCTAATCCCAAACTTAAAACTTGCTTAGAACATGGTATGATGTCCATAGCTGTAGGGTATTGCCACGTGCTGAGAAGGAGAATCTTCGTATTTTCTTAGAAGGTGTGTTTCATAGCAAATCATGCCCCTGCTAAATTCATATGTTGAAGTCTTAGTCTTTAGTTTCTGAAAATGTGACC